CCACCCGCCCTCGCCCTCCGCGCCCTGCCCCCCTCGCTTCCCGGCTCCGGCCGTGCACCGGCGGGTCGCTGTCCGCTTCTCACCCGCCAGGGCTTCTAGCCAGGCGACAGGGACGCGTTCCAAGACGTCCCCCACTTTGTCAGTCCCCTCGTGGTGGCCTCTGTCAACCTGGAGCATCTCCTACGCGCTGCTAGGTGGTCCCTGGGGTCCCTGCTAGTCGTAGGGGAGCTCAAAGGGGGGCTTCACCTGTCTCTCTGCAGTTCCTCTACCTAGAGCCTCTGAGAGCCTCTAGGGGTGGCTTTAAAAATAAAGCAGGGCGACATCTGGGAGACTCTCTTTCTTCTCCTTTTTTTTTTGGTTTTTTTCTCCGGTACCGGGAATCGAACTCACGACCAGGCGCTGTGCTGCTGAGCTAAATCCCCAGCCCCTTGGGAGATTCTCTTTCCCCACTGTCCGCTGCAGAATGTGCCAAACTTCCCGTGCTAGCTGAAGACACGGAGAAGCGAACGCCTGCCCTTCCTTCCCAAGGGCCTGCTGGCCACGGGCTGGCGTTCCTGACCTGCTGGCCGCCTGTCCTGACCTCTGGAAAGGCCGCTCTAACTTCTTGTCGCTGTTGGCCCTGCGACATTTCAGAGCCCAGGGAGGTCTCAAGAGCACTTCATCTTCCTCAGTTAAAAATAACACCGCTGCCATGGCCCACGACCTGGCTACACTAGAGTGATTGTGACCTTCTGATATGACTGGTGACAAAAACAAGTTACATTCGGGGCCAAACGGGCACCCATGATCATTTGAGCATCAAATGAAGGTTTTATCTAACCCAGATCGTCTCACCCTTCTCTTGTTCTACTGACTGACCGCCTCTGATTAAAACACCAGTTTTCTAACAGGCTGTGAAACCAGGACCAGACCCTAACAGCCCTGCCCGAGTTGCAGCTTCGTAGTCCAGGGCCTGGCTATGGGACCCACAGGGAACCCACCCGGGGAGCTGGGCTCTTCTTCACTTTTTGATGTGCTGGGCATGCAGCTTTCCATGGACATTTTTTACCTGGACCCCAGGAGGTTCTGAAGGGCCGTGGGATTGGAGATCATGGGTTCAGCCAATCTTCCAGCAGAGCTTGAGGAGCAGAACCCACACCCAAGGCCTTTGGAAGCAGGAGAAAGTCTAGGCAGATGCTGCAAACTCAAGTGTCCTTGGGGATACTAGAGGACCCAGTGGCACACACCTGTGCTCGCAGCTTAGGTGACAAAGCAGTTCTCCCCATGCGTCTCCTTTCCCAGCACCACTAGGCTGGCTGTTTCTCCCACCATCCACTGAGTCCGCATGTGGCCCTTGCCAGACACGGCTGCCAGGTCTCAGCTTTTCCAGCCTCCAGAGGTGGGAGCCAAAGTAAACCTCTTTTTTTTATAAATGACTCAGCCTCAGGTGTGCTGTTATAGCAACTGAAAACAAACTCAGACCGGCACCGTGGCCCAAAAAAGGCAGCCTTATTTTTCCATGTGGAAAATGCAGGTCTGCTGCGGCCATCAAGTTTGAGTTTTTAAATTTTATTTGGGTTTGGAGTTTTCTTTTGTCTAGAGAAGCCAGAAACACACATTTAATGTGAATGCTTCTCATTTTAAAATAGTAACTAATTTTTTAAATATTTCACATGCTGTCCAAGCCAAGAGCAAAGGGTTCGTAGGCCACAAAGTATCCCCTGGTCATCATTTGCTCATGTGAAAGTCTGGGGAAGGGTCAGGATAGCAGGAAGGTGACTATGTTTGGGGTAGGGATTCTCTGGACAGAAATCACTTAAAACCCACTTTATCGTCTCTGTAATTTTGCCTTAATGGTTTCTTCTTTTAAAGAATGGCTTTACTGAGATGCAGTTCACATGCTCTCCCCGCCCCTCTGAACTGAGGCTTTGCTTTCTGCAATGTTATTTGCTCAAAGTCAACCCAATCAGAAATACTAAATGGAAAGTTCTAGCAATAAGCAGTTCCTAGGTTTTACACTGAGTCATGTGACAAAATCCCCCACCATCCTGCTGTCTCACCCAGGCCGCAATCATCCTTTGGTCCTGCATATCCACTTGGTATACACCACCCACCACACAAGCTTTCTCAGTTACCAGCGCAATTGTGGAAGTATCATAGTGCTTGTGTCCCAGGAAGTTATTTTGTATAATAGTCCCCCTAAAACAAGTGTAGTAATGAAGAGGAGATCCTTAGGCAGAAAATGTGGTGACTCTGGTACCATGGCAGAGTATGGAGAAGGAAACATAGTATATAAGAGCTCGGGGCTGGGGATTTAGCTCAGTGGCAAAAGCGCCTGCCTGGCAAGCGCAAGGTCGTGAGTTCGGTTCCTGGTACCGGAAAAAAACCAAAAAAAAAAAAAAAAGAGCTCAGCGCCAGCCAAGGATCCACCCCTCTGTGGGGCCCTGGGGGAAATGTTCTAGGAGAACTCCATTTGGTCATTTAAAGCACACATTTCGGTATTTTTAGTACATGCAGAGTTGTGAAGCCAACACCACTACTGATTTTTATAACCCCAAAAGGAAATCTCATCCGTATTATCACTCTCCTTTTTGGCTTCCAACCCCTGGCCCCTAGGAACCACAAATCTATTTTCTGCACATACACAGTTGCCTGCTCTGAACCTTTCATATAAAGGTCATGTGACTAGGCCTCTCTCCCCCAGCATCTTGTTCTCAAGATTCTTCCATGCTATACCATAAATCCATAGTTCAATCCTTTCATGAACAGATAATATTCCATTGTATGGACATATTATGTTTTATCTGTGCATCAGCTGATGAACACTGGCGTCTTTGCACTTTCTGGCTGCCGTGAAAGTGTCGCTATGAGCATTCCGGTGTGAGTTCCCGTGTCAGAGTTTGTCTGTACTGAATTAGGAGTGAAGCTTCCAGGCCCCGTGGTACCGCCACGTGGAATCTGTTGAGGAGGCGCCGCACTGTCCTCTGGAGGAGCTGCCCCCTCCACGTTCCAACCGGCAGAGCAGGGGATCCAGGTTCTTCACCTCTCCATCAGCACTCATTTGTCTGCACGTTAAAGTTGTACCCCCGAGGTGGAGAGGGGAAAGGAATGTAAAAAGAATGAAGATGTGTTCTGCACATGCACAGCTCCCCACGATGATTATAATCATCATGGACAGCAAACGGACTAATAAAAATAAAAATTAAAAAGAACGTATTGCAAGCAATGTCGCAAAAAATGAACAAAATAAAATTGTGCCATCATAAAGGTGTGAAGTGGTACATTACTAAGGGTTTGCTTAGCGCCTTCCCAATCACTATGGATGCTGATCATCTTCTCATGGGCTTGGCCCTTTCTGTAGCTTCCTTGGAGAAATACTTAGTCAGATCCTTCACCCATTATTAGTTGGGGTTTTGTCTCTTTTTTTTAATCTAGGAGTAGGTGTTCTTCACATAAGTCCCTACCACATATATGATTTAGCAGTAGTTTCTCCATTCCTGGAGCTGTCTTTTTTTTTTGTCCTTTTGAGAGAGGGTTTCACTATACAGTTTAGACCAGCTTTAAACTCCCAGGCTGGCCTCAAAATCACAGCGATCCTCTGCCTCAGCCTCCCAAGTGCTAGGATTATAGGCATGCACCACCACGCCTGACCTCTTCATTTTCTTTTAAGCACTAAAGTTCTAACCTTGTTGAAGCATACCTTTCTCTGTATTTCTGTTTGGTGCTGGTCTGTCGGGTATCATTAAAAATCCTGGCCTAATCTGAAGGGCATGAATACTGTGCCTGACTGCTGGGCCCACCCTTCTTTGATGCTCTTTAACAGTGCGTCTTTTGAAGCTGGCCACATGAAAACAACTAGCCTTGCACACCACAGTGAGAGCCTCCCGCTCCAGGGGTCCACCTTGCTGCGACAGTGCCCCCACAGCCTGCTGGTGAACTGTGGCACTGAATGGCAGGTTCTTATCAAAGAAGTAACTGAGGGCACGGATGGTGGGTTAGCAAGACCGTGCACAGGAAGGATCTCTTCACTCACCGCAAAGCATTTCCTAAAGGCCTCCTCCGCCTGGAGCTGCTCCTGGCTCTGAAATGCACACCAGGCTCCTGCTCCACCAGGGTATGAGTATAATAAAAGAAAATAAACAGGTGGAGCAGAGAGAGATCAGATGAACTCTTAAGTCAACAACTCCTGCAGATCACAACGACGGAACCCCGGAGGAGAAGCTGCGGTGGGAGAGGCGCTGAAGCACGAAGAGCCTATGTGGGGAGGAGCCGGGCAGCTTCCTCTGGGAACACGGAGTCCGGTGAGGCTACCACAAGGAGCGCCTTCAGCCGAACTCCCCGGAAAGCAGGTCCTGCGCACAGAGGGACACAGCGCTGTGCAGGCGAGGGGGACAGCGCAGGAGAGCGCCACCAACAGGAAGCACGGTGCTGAGCGTGGTACCCAGCTCCCTGGCCCCGCGGGTGGGAGGGAGGGAGAAAGGACCCAGGGGTGCTGGTTCCTAGTCCTCAGAGGGGCAGGGTAATTTCAAAACGGTCAGGTGGAGGCAGGGAGCTGTTAGCAGGTCGGGCGTGGTGACACACCGTGATCCCAGCACTCTGGGAGGCTGGGCAGGAGGACTGCGAGTTTGGGGCCAGCCTGGGCAGTTTAACAATTTGGCAGGACCGTGTTCAAAATAAAAAAGGTCTGAGGATGCAGTCCCCGGTATGATTCAATCCCCAGTACGAGACAAGGAAAGAAAAGCTCCTAGCAGGTACCCTCCTCTCCCCAGGCAGCATCAGCCGCTCGGCATTCCTGGTTGGCACGGCGCAGTGCCCCGGCAGGAGTGGGCAGGCGCTGCTTGCTGGAGCAGGGAGGAGCGGCTGTGTGAGGCGGTGGCTGTCCCGGCCACCTGGCTCCATGACCACAGCCATAGCCAGAGAGGAGCCCAGGAGGGGGCAGGAAGTGGAAGCCAGCGCGGCCCAGGAGCCCCGGCCACACCGCTGCGGCCAGTTGGAAGCAAGGATGAGCAGTTATCCAGGGTTCTTTTTGCTTTTTTCAGAGTGTTGTTTTGTTTTTTGCACTCTACCACTGGCTTACATCCTCAACCCTTTTCCTTTTATCTATTTTATTTTATTTACTGTATTTATTTATTTTTGAGACAAGGTCTTGCTAAATTTCCCAGCTAATACTCAAACCTCTAATCCTCCTGCCTCAGCCTCCCTCCATGCTGGGACTAAAGGTGTTCACCCACTCAAATTTACTGTTTTTAATTAATGTGCAAATTCACTTTTAAAAAACTTTTTTTAGTATATGCTTGCACATAATGAATAGATTCAGAATCGTGGGGTGTTGCCCAATATACAGATTACATCTTTATGCTAAATATATAAGTCCAGATCAGAGCAGGCTGTCACTCCTAAATCCTGCTGCCCCTTGTGGCCAAGGCTTCCCCAACCCCAGGTCAGGGCGACCTCCGGCAGCGTCCTATCTTTCTGCAGTGCTCTCTTCCCAGGCTGTCATATGAATGGAATTGCACGGCATCACCTCCACACCTGACTTCCCTCAGCAGCACTGCGATGTGACGCTGGTTTGTCATGGGTGCATCTACGGTTTACCCTTTTCACTCCATGGGTGTCCTGCAGCCTTTTCATCCATTCTCCAGTGGAAGAAAATGTGGGTTAGTTCCTGCTTGGAACAATTATTAACAAAGCTACCCCAAACTTTGGCCTACACTCTTTTGTGTGAATTGAAGTTATTATTTCTTTTTTTTTTTTTTTTGAGACAGGGTCTTGCTATGCCGTTCAGGCTGGTCTTGAGCTCACTTTGTAGCCCAGGCTGGCCTTGAACTTGCAGCAATCCTCCTGCATCAGCCTCCTGAGTGCTAAGGTTACAGGCACGTGCCACCACGCCCAACAAAGCCATTATTTCACTTCAACCAAAACATGGGCCTCTCCTGTGGTAAGTGTATATTTAACTATATGTAAGAAACTCTCAAGTGTTTTTAAAATTACAGTATTCTCAGTAGCAATATATATGAATCTTGGTTATTCTTTAAATTTTGTTGTAAGTTGATAATTACAATTGTACATACTTGTGAAGGACAAAGTGATATCCTGATTATGAATATGACATGGAATCATTAAACCCAGCTAACTGACACATGCTCATTTTTGTAATGAAATGTACTCTCACCAATTTTTAAATGCATAGTACGTTACTTAGTGTAGCCACCATGGTGCACGGAACAGCTCAGAGAAAAAGAAATGGCTGCCCGTCTCATGGAGGCTTTGTACCCTCTGACCATCGTCTTCTTCCACGCCCCTCCTCAGCCCTGTAGCCCCTGCTCTGCTCTGTGCACCCCGCATCTGGTTGTCTCCGGTTTCACAGATCAGTGAGAGGTGCGAGTGTGACTTTCTGTGCCTGGCTCACTTCAAGCGTAATGTTCTCCTGCTCCACCCGCAAATGGCAGGACCGCCTCCTTTCGAAGGAGGAGCCCGTTGTGCATACGAGCTGTGTTTCACATCATTCATCTGTCCGTGGACACCAAGAGGGACCCAGCACCTGGCTCTTGTGCACACGGGGTTGCACACTCAGACTTTGCTCCTAGTACGTGAACACCCAGGGGCAATGTCGCAATTCTAGTTGTAGATGTTTGGGGACCCTCCATGTTTTCCATGATAGCTGTGCTAACGTACATCCCTGCCAACAGTGTACACGGACCCCTTTCCTCCACTTTCTCACCGAAGATTTTTATCTTGCATCTTTTTATTTTGATTAGTATGTGTTTGCAGCACATTATGATTACATTTATCGTGCGGGGGGAGTTGGTGCACGTACGTAACACATCTTCATTCTGTCTTCTCGTCCCCTTCCCTCCCCTCCCCGCTGCTCCCTCCAGCTCTTGGCCCCCTTCCCGTTTGCAGGAGCTGTATTTCCGTGTCTTTTTTATCATAGTCATCCTGACAGGCACAAGGTAGTGTCTCACTGTGGCTTTAATTCCTGCTTCCCTAATGACGAGTGATGGGGAGCATTTCTTCACATACCTACCGTCCATTTGTAAGTCTTCTATTCGGGTTCCTTTTCCATCTTTAATCAGGGTTTTTGCTTTCTCACTATAGAGGAGTCTGAGTTCCTCATATATTTTGGGTATGAACCCCTAGTCACACACAGCGATTGCAAACATTTCCTCCCAGCCCAGAGCTTGTCTCTTACACTGTGAACTGTACCCTTTCTTCACAGACCTTTTAGTTTGATGCAGTCCCATTTGGCTGTTTTTGCTTCTGTTTCCTGCATTTTTGGGGTCAAATCCAAGAAAATCAGGTACCCAACCAATGTTGTGTGGCTTTCCCTTACCTGTTCCTCTAGTAGTTTTAAAGTTTCATGTCTTACATTTATGTCTTTAATCCATTTTGAATTGATTTCTTTTAATATGGTGTGGAAAGGATCCAGTTTCATTCTTCTGTGTGTAGATATCCAATTTCCCAACACCAGTTGTGGAGGACACCGCCCCTTCCTTCTGGCATTTCCGTTGGGAACCCATGGGCCTTCCGTGCACAGCTTCTTTCCTGGGCACTCTGTTCTGTCCTATTGGTCGATGACTATTTTTACGCCAGCAGCACCCTCTTTTAAGTATGGTAGCCTTACACTCAGGCAGTGTGGTGTCTCTGGCTTAGTTCTTTCTGCTCATGATTACCTTGTCTACTCAGGAGGTTTTGTGGTTCAGTATGAATTTTATGGACCACTTTCCTGCTCATTCTTTATTCCTAAAGACCTGAGAGTCCCTCTGATAGAGCTACCTCCAGCCAAAAGAATGTGGAGCCTTCCTACATGTTAGCAAGATGGTAAAATGGTGTGGCCACTTGGGAAAACCATTTGGCAGTTCTTCAAACTATTAAATGTGGGGTTACAATATGGCCCAGTACTCCATTCCTAAAGAAATATGCAAGAGAAATAGAGACTTACGTCCACCAAAAACTGAAAACACAAATACAGCAACATTGCTCATAAAGATCGAAAAGTGAAAACAGCTCTTATATCCAACAACTAATGAACAGACAAAATGTGGAGTATCCGTACAGTGGAATATGACTTGGCCATAGCAAGAATGAAGTCCTGATGCATGCGATGTATGATCCTACTTATATGAAATGCCTAGAATAGGCAAATCCTTGGAGACAGGAAGTAAATTAGGTGTTTCCTCGGGCTGGGGTTGAGAGGAAGTAAAGAACGACTGCTCTTGGCAGGGGTTTCTTCCAAGGATGGCACCACTATCTTGCTGCTAGAAAACGGTGCATTTTCAGTGTCTTTATGCCTTATAATCGATCTACTTGAAAGACAAGAGGTGTTGGGGTGGGGACTTGCTGATGGAAAACCATCTAGAGAACCGCCCTGGAGTTTCCTAGAGATCCCTGTACTGTTTATTTTTATTATTATAATTTGACAATCTATGACTATATACCCTTCTGGGGTATAAGGTGATGTTATAATTTATGAATACCATGTGGTTAAGGAAATCAGTCTTCCCGGTGCAGATTAGGGGGCCTCAATATATGGAAATAAAAGTGGAGCATGCCCCCTCCCAACCCCCGGGTCTGCTGGGGAAGCACAGATAACCCGTCCTGAGGGGAGACTCGCCCCACTCCCTCCTCGCAGAGGGAGCCAGCTCTGCCCACGAGGTCCACCGAGCCCCCAGAGTTAACTCGACTCCACAACTCTTCATGTCTGCATTCCACTCTCAGCCGTCTTCCTCCTGGCTAGGGAGCCTCCAGGTTTGTATCTCCCTTTGAGACGCTGTGTGCCTGTCATCCTAATTCGGACTTTTTAACTTGCCCCTCAGATCTCTTTTTCCCCTTGAACTCACAGGCTCTATGAGAGGATCCATCTTCGTTTCAACATCTCTCCCTTCATCTCCAGTCAGAGGGGATCCTTCATGCCTACCTCTAATCATGCTTTTTGCCTCCTGCAAGTGATTTGAACATGTCCTCCTTTAATTGGCGCTCGTGTCCACCAGCTGAAGACCTGCTGGCAGAGACCCCAGGGGGCAGAAGTGGGAGGTCCTCGCTAACCTGCCTCAGCACTGCCATACGGCGCCCCCTGCAGGGTCACTCCTGTCTCCAAAGTGTGCACCGAACACGCAGACCCCTTGCTTTCAGCAGTGATGACCACTCAGTTATTTTCTCAATAATTATTATCTTCAAAAATATGACAATTAATTTAGTGACAGTAATTTTGTTTCACCTGAAAGGCTCTCACAGAAGCTGGCAAGGTCCCAAAGGTTTGAAGAAAATGTTATAGGAAACATCATGCAACTGAGAAAACTTCACCAATTAACTTTCATCACCCTGCACTAGGGAAACACGCGTTTCCCGCTAGGCCAGGTGACTTGCTTCCACCCAAGCATCTCTTGGGCAGCCTCTTCTGCAATGTGACAAGGATGTCCTGCCTTCAGGGGACTCTGATAAAGGAGGAAACAGATGGCAGCACTGTGACACTGTGGTCAGGAAAATGGGCCTGTGCGTGAAGAGTGAATCCTGACCCAGGCTTTGCCTTGCCCTTTCCACTTCCTGGACGCCATGAGGTGAGCAGCCTTCTCCAGCGTGCCTTTCTGCCGTGATGTTTCCGCTCCGGAGCAGCCGCCCCAGGACCGAGACCATGAGTGCCTACAAGGATTTCCTCCTTTCGGTTGATTTTGTCAGGCATTTTGTTACAGGGATGGGAAGCTGACGAACACAGGGAGAGGGCCTGAGTCCCAAGTGTCCCCGACAGACACCCTGGTCAAGGCGGATCACTGGAAGGCCAGGAGAACGTAGGTCCCTCCCTGAGCGCTTAGCCGCTGCCTTGCCACAAGGCCCAAGGGAGGGAAGGGAGAAGCCACCTGGGGCTGTGAGGCTACACCCGCTGCTGGCTGCAAAGCCAGGGAGAGCAAGACCACCACTCGCTGCTGATGCATCACCACCCACGAGATGCCTCCTCCACAGTCACCTCCCAGCTTCCAGCAGGTCTCTGGTCACCGGGCCTGCAGAAGAGCATTCCAACAACAGCTAGCCAAAGGTACCAGGCACCAAACTCGGGCCACGGTGTGTGCTGGAGTTGCAAGAGCAGATTGCTCAGGAGGAATTCTGCAAGTGCTAAGGGTATTCACAACAGAAATAGACAAATGCTACAGATGAGGACTTCTCCCTTTTCAGGGCACCTCTGGGGGTGGGGCGCCGGCTGTATATTTTGAACACTGTGCTTCCCCACTTGCTTTGGAAAGCCAGCACCACGGCTCAGGCTGTCATTCAGCATACAAGCCTCGAGGACCTAAAGAAAGGCCGGCCAGCCGCCAAGCAAACCGTGGCTTCCACGCCTAAGTGCTGGCCCTTCAGCAGTGCCTGAGGTCCCGGAGAGAGGGCAAGTGTAAGCACCCGCTCTCTCCAGCCTAAGGCCAGGCCACGTGACAGGCAGGCACTCTCTGGGTTAGAGGAAGGAAGGTGTTTGGTTAGGATCATGAAGGAAGGAGTTGGGCCTTTCTCCTTTGTCTTAATCTCTCCTATGTGCAAAACTCGGTGCTGCCTTTGTGAGGGACGTGAAGATGGACCCAGGAGCGCAGTCTGTCCCAGAGGGACCGCTGAGAAGGACCCTGAGGCCTGGCTTTGCCGAGATTGCTCTCCTGATACCTGTGCTACTCCCTCTTTATCATCTGTATGCCCCTGTTTCACGCTCCTTGGCCTCTGCTATCCTCTCCTCAGGGAGGGGAGTCGTCACACGCCCTGGGAAGATCGGGAAAGACTGCGGAAGGAAGGGGCGGGGTTTGAGCTGCACTGTGAAGGACGCGGA